GTTCGCGGAAATTTAATGAAAAGTGCCTCCCCGTATTCAATATCTCCTTGTAATCTTTATATTGCCTTCACGAGTCACCCAGTCACATCGTGTGCTGAAATTCTATTTCAATTTTGCCGTTTTCTGTTTAAAAGGAACACGTTTTATTTAAATCTTATCCAATATGAGCCCATTTACTTAATGAGATTTAAAATTTAAGGTAAGCTGCAGCATTACAAGCATTCTCCATGCCATTGACAAATAGTTTATTATTCAAATCTGTCATTAACATTTTCATAGCTTTGTTTTGGCATTTCAATTTAATTCAATTTCCTATAATTTTAATATTATTAACAGTATTGTTGATTTGTAAGACATCCCAAGCGAGCTATAAGCTAGCTATCGGATTAAAAATTTATGATTATCCTAAAAATGTTCTTAGAGATGTAATCAAGGACAAATGACCTAAAAAAATTTTTAAGCATAATGAAAAGCTCTTCAAATATATCTAAATTTTTATAATGACAAATTAAAAAGCAATCAAAATTGTAATGAAATAAAAACAATAATTCGTCTAATACATTACTAACGACGACCTCCGCAGCCGAATGATTCGCACGCCGGTTTCAAAATGTCGCCATTTCTGAGGTCCCGGTTTTGATTCCTGGTCAGGTCAATGTAGAAAATGTACTTTTCTATATTGTCTCGGGTCTGGGTGTTGTATTATTCGTTGTCTCAGATACTCCATAATACAAGGGTTTAAGCTACTCATTTTACAATCTGAGCAATGTATGTGATGTTGTTTAATATATATCAACCTTCAATTAACAACGACGATATTCCACCACAAATCAACACTATTAGGGGGCGATTATGAGCTGTAGCAATCACTGCCGATTAAAATTTCACAACAATATAATACTCGTAGAAGACAAGTTTCAACTAATTTTCATTAACGCCACAAAATACAAACAACACTTAAGCATTTTAAGCACTTATACTTTATATTTCACTTCATTTGGATAACTATTTAATAGAGTAACCATAAAATTAAATATTCTATTTTATGTTAGAAGCGACAATAATTAACAGTTTCAGGTGATTCCAGAAGAGACAAAAATCTCCGATCTTTCTAAGTTATAATTTTATTTCAACGGCCCAACGGGATTGTCACGTTTCTTTCTAATAGTTTATTCATTGTGAATGTATAAAAAAGTATCACAAATATTAATCAAATCATAAAACATAGTAGTAAACAAAGTGAAACCGTTTTCACTTTATCTTATCCTGAACTAGGTTAGGGAAAGGAGCACAGTAAACATTTTCTTTTTTAGGTATTTAGAGATAACACTAGAAAAATATTGATGCCATCTTCTGTAGTATCGATAAGTAGGCAATCTCCATGCACCACCTTAGGTAACTTTATGAAAATAAATTTAGTATTAAATAAAACAACTTTTTAACAGTTTTGTCCTGTATATTTCTGGAAAATGATTGCTTACTATTTATCCCTGATTACCATAAACTATCACCAGTTACTTGAGATCACACAATGCAAAACCAAAAGACATAGTTAGTTCATTCTGTAAATATTACAATCAAATGAACCAATTCACTTTTACTATCGGAGTTTGTTTTGCTAGTTCTTCTCGGACATGACTCCCGAATTTGGAACTGGTAGTAGATTACGATAGCCAGGGGTAAATAAATAAGTCAAATGTATTTTTAAAATAATTTAATTGATTAAATGTAAACGTTTCAAAATTGATTAAATTAAAAAGGAAATCAAAACCTTAGTCTTAAGTGAACATGGAACCTTTAAAGAGTTCGAAACAACAAATAAACTAATAAGAACCGCGATGAAACCATTTAATAATTGTTTACTTTCTTTTCTAAGTTAGTATGAATGAGGATCCTATTGCATTCAAGAATCTAACAAGGTACCAAGGAACTATAATTGAATTTAACTTGATAACTCGTTAAATTCAATTAAAGTTCCTACTGTATCTTTATTTGCCCCACATCAGAAAGATATCATATTTAATTAGTTTTGTTTTATTATAGTAATTTTTTGCATTATTAATACAAAGTCATTAATTTTGTCATCATAACATCCATGTAATTTTGTCTATTTTATCGTATATAAGCTTATAAAGCATTTTTAGTCATAATTATTGCCTTCCTATAATAAAGAAATTAGTGGGTATGTTCATCAAATAAAGAAAAACAATGGACCTAATAATGAACCTTTGGGCACGCTCCATAGTAATTGGTACTCCTATACACAGATCTATATGATTAATACAACAGGGTATCTGTTATAATAATGACATCTTTTTAATTCTTGCAGTAAGATAATATTGAATAGTGTCTCATAGCTAACACAGTCGGATGCCTTTGATAGATCACTGCCAACTACATGCAATCATATCTTGCTTAATGCTTAGTCATCATCCTATTATAAAATCAAATTTTATTTACTTATCAGTGTAAATTTTTGTTAAACACATAACTTTAAAATATATAGGATGTTATAAAAATAATCTACAATATTATTTTTCTTATTTTATATTGGTATACTAGTCTGACTCGTACTTGACCAGTTTTATAATAACTGAAAATAAAACCACAAGTTTGAAACTAAACAAATTGTTAAATACAGGAGAATGTAATACAAATTATATCAAGTTTAATTTATTAAAATATATAAATTCACTATATTATACTTAATAAATTCCAAATTGATAAATTACAATATTACATATAGGAGAAGAATGTTGCATATATGTAAGTATCTATATGATTTGTTTGTAATAATTTTACATTGCTTTGTAAAAACAAAATTATTTTTATACAATCTGTAATATAATAATTAATCTCATATATTTTCATTAATTATGAAAATATATAAGCAATTATTTATTGATACTCGTATAAACTTTTCTCTTAGTGGAAAACTTGTGGATAAGATGCGACTTTTTTGGGTTAAAGGGCTTCCCCTGTATATTAAGGTTTTGTGAAATGGAGCGTGAAATTTCAGAAAGAGACAGATATATCGTAAAGGGCGCAAGGTCAGTAGGCCCCCGAAGCCGTCAAATGAGGTAGCATCATAAATCGCGGAAAAGTAGGACGGACAGACGGGCTGCTTACACCTTAGAGTGGTCATAAACAAAATAATTACCTACTAGGCAAATTTCTTTTCTTTATAGTTTTAACTGGTAAAGTAAGTTATAATAATAATACAAGCTAGTGTTACTACTACTACAGATGTAATTAGCACGGTATATATAACTGCTCTGTCTTGATGATTATTTGAAGATTATTTATTACTGATAACAGTTTGAGCCATATGTGATATGAGACTTAATTAAAAATATTTTTACATAAAGTTGAAGAGCAACACTTATATTTGAATTAGCTTACAATAAATAAGAATCACGCATATTACTCGGAATCTAAGCTAAGTAGTGTATGCTCTCGTATTATGGAGTATTCTTAAACAAAAAAGGAACAACCACACCCACACACGAGAAAACATAGAAAAGTTAACTTTCTACATGAACCTACCGAGACTTCAGAGATGACAAAACCTTTAAATAAGCGTGTAATCTTTTATAATATTAAGATTTTTAAAATAATTAATAATTAACCTCCTAAATATGAAGAAGAGTTTTTGACGTGTCCCATACTCCTAAAGTATATGCCTTTCGTAATGGTCTTGTGCTCTCTCCATCCACTACAATGTCATTAATCCAAAGTATCGACGGTCTAAGGGCCTATTATTAGGAGTATTGGATTTCCAAGATGATATTCTCTCAAAAACCATATTTTTGAACTTTAATTAATTTAACAATTTATTTAATTAATTCACCAGGAATCCATTACTATCAACAATAGAGATGACTGAGATTTAACGCGTTAACAAATACAATTATTTATTAAACAGAAGTTTGACAGTAAATTGATCAGCTAATATTGAAACTAATAGCTTAAACTTTCTACATTGTGAAGTTGAAGAATAACTTTTATAAAGAGTAGTTAGATATAGGAATTTTATTTAAAAAATGGTGTTTGTTAACAACGCGAAACAACAATTAACGAAATGCTTGAATATTTAATTTATATTAAAACTGACTTACATTCCGTACCGTCCTTTTCTAATTTGTTTCCATTTATCAGTTAGCCAGTATTTGTTTCGGGAAAAAAAAATGACCCTTTGCAACAAAACAAATCAACCGTAGCAAAATTTATCGCATTCTAAATTCAAGTATTCCGCTAATGAATGAAGTAATCTAATCGTACAATTTCAGGAACAGTTTTGACTTTATCAATTTTCAACAGACCCCCGTCTTGACCTACATCCCAAAAGAGAACAGCTCAAGGGTTGGTTTACGCAGGACTTTAGCAAACAAACCTCTTAAAATAACTAGTTACGTGTTAATGACAAAACAGCTGTAATGCGACCTTCAATTGACAAAACTAGAAGGTCGAATAACAATTATATCAAACCTTTACAACTTCAACCAGAGCTCTTCTTAATTCTAAACAGTTACATAGTGTCGTATAATTATCATTATGTATAACTTTATGCAATGTTTGCATTATTCATTAACAGCAAAAGAAAATTTTACTGTTTACTCATTTCGGATAAAACACTTTTACGCGTCACAAAAACGACGAGGCTTAATGATTTAATCACATTATGTTAATTCAGACACTTTCGTTGCATTGAAAGAATCGATTTTTCTTAACCTAATTAACAATTGTTACACTCGTGTTACAAATATATTTGTAATAAAATAACTTTTCGGAAGTAACATTAGGATTATTAATCTTGTTAGCTGATTGTAGTTTTTGTAGAGGAACTGTCAAAACGTGTCGAGCATACGAAGAGGAAATACCGAGCTAATTGTTATTGTATACCGTGACGTTATCGGTTTGAACGGAGCACTCCGTATGAGTCACGTGTTTACAAATTTATCTATCGATTTGTTATCGAGCGATATGTATATTGCACTTACCCGGTTAGTGAGAGAGGTGGCAGACGTCAGCGACCAGCGAGCGTTAAGGTTACCGCGAACTAGCAGCACGTACGAGCGTGTAACACGCTCGGATGCCGGGCGCCGACTGGCTGCGTCGATCGATACCGCTGCCGCCATTGCTGCGTTGCGTTCCGTTACACACCACACAGATCATTGACAATTCTGACGTTCCTTTACTTTATTTCTGTAATCTCATCATTATCATCTTGAAACCGAAAAATTGTCAATCCGCCATCTTTCCGCGATATGGAATATTTGTTGTTTTGTCGTATACCCAGGTCCTCAGAATTTGAGGAGTTGCTGGCTGTCAGTTTTCGTTGCGGGATGCGTATATTTTAGATAAAGTAATTATTTCGGGTTGAACTTTAGAACGTTCACTCGTGGAGACGTCTCGGACAATGATGTTAATATTGTATTAGCTTTTGTTATTCTATTTTCACAAATTATTATATTATTTTTATTTTTGAGAAATTCTAATTATTATTTAATGATTACCCATCAGATTGTCTGATCTATACTCCAGCAGTACTACTTATAAACAAGGTTTAGCGTTGGAGTAAATTTACACTGAGACTGCTCCTCGTATTAGTCTAAATTCATATTATTAAACAAAGACTTAACAAAGGTTAACCTAGTACGAGGTTCTACGGGAGTAATATTTGCTCCTGGAAAGTAGTAAATTTGCTTATTCTCTGTGTAACATGAATATGGACTAATACTAAAATTGCAATTTTAGCGTAAAATTTACTCCAACGCTAAACCTTGTTTATAAGTAGCACTGGATAGGTATAATATAGTTACATTTTGAAAATATTAGTAACTGCAATATCTAATAAATAGTATATAACATCAAGTATTAAAATCAAAATCTAATTAAAATTGTTTAGAAATAAAAAAAAGTTTATCAATCAAAGCAATAAAACAATCTTCATGATCTTATTGGCCAGATCTGTGTTTACGATACCATGTTAATCAGAAGGTTTTTCTTAATTTAATTTAATATAATTATTTTAATACCTTTCATTCCAGAATACTTCATTAAATTATATAAAATTGTCAAACATCTCCAATTGATTCTGAGCCTTAATGCTTTGTTACGAAAGCTTAAAATTGATTAAGGGAGTACGTTTAACAGTGGTGTGTATGATCCTAATAGAAGTTCACAATATTTTGTTGAATATATCAGAAGTAACCTCTACTGTACTGATAGCGAAACTAACCTCTCTTCTTCAAATTAAATTTTTTTATGCAACTGCAATATTTGTGTAGAAACATAATATCGGTCGTGGTTTGCCGTTTTAATAAGAATAGTATTGTTAGGCTCGCTCGCTTGGTATCATTACTACTGAAACAATTTAGAAGTTTGCTATAGAGGGAGTTAGAGCGAGACTCTAGAAAAAAACTTAAAAAAATAGAAGCATCTTCAAGATACATAATACTTATCTCAAAAGCTACTTATTCAAGAAAATGGTATTTAAGTCAGGCGGTGGTCTTCTGTAGGTTTATTATATAAATGATGGGCGCCCAGTGGCGGACCAACCGCATCGGAGGCCCGGGGCGGCAATAGGTGATCGACAACTTTTTCCGACCGGGCCAGAAACTTGATATTGCGTTTACACTCCTCCCCTCTGCCAAGCGCACGTTTTTAGCGTTATTACGAGTATATTGCTAGTTGTGCCCGTGACTTCGTCCACATTGAACAGTGACCTTCAGCATCTTTAATTTTTAGGGTTCCGTACCCAAAGGGTACAACAACCCTGTAACTATGTCTTCGCTGTCTGTCACCAGGCCGTATCTCATGATTTAAGCAATTTAATTTTTCACAGATGTTTTTCCGCTTCAACAACAATAGAATAAAAATTTTGTTCGTATTCTGTACGGAACCCTCCGTGCACGAGTTGACTCGCACTTGGCAGATTTTATGTTACTTACATTTTTATATCGTCTTTGGTTGATGCTTACAGTACTACATAAATAAAGATTGCAATAAACACCGACAACCGACACACGTGCATGCGGTGACCATCAATGCGGAGGAAAATTGCAGACGACACCAGAACAAATGTAAGGATTATGATTGATGATAAAATACTCACTTGAGAAGATATTACATTACAGTACATAAATTACAGTATTACATAAATTACAGTACATAAATAATATACAAAGAGACACTATAAATGAAACAACCTTTAAACGGTTTCATCGCGTTTGCATTTAGTTCTATTAACATTTCGGACCCCTTACAGGTTGCGTGTTCACATAAGACTAAGGTGTTGATTGTCTTTCTAATAAAAAGTATAGCTACCTTCAAAAACCAATACTATTGGACACATTCACAATACAATATATATTATAAAGCAACGTTTACATTTATTAAATTAAATTAAAGTATTTTATAAATACATTATAAATATACATACAAATACAAATAGATAGTGCGCGTGAAAATATAAAAAAATACAGACATACATTCTCACAAACTTTCGCATTTATAATATTATATTAGTAGTTGAAGAGCTCGATGACGAAGTGGTTAGCTCGGCTATTGCCTGTTCTCCCTATTAGATTTGATTAACGCAAAGGGAAGGCCTGGGCCCCAGCACTGGGCACAATAGTACGCTGGTGACGATGGTGAATATTAGTAGGATATATTGTATATAGACGTAGTTATAGTTCGAGTAATACTTTTTAAGTGACTACACGTAAGTGTCTGTAACGAGAATCAGACGCGCTCGCTCCGTTAAAAACTAATCTGTAATTTAACCAAATTTCAGCAACTATGTCTGTTCTACTTTAATTAAATAATCTAGGCACCGTGAGGTCGCTACGTCCTTATATTTAATGCAGTTGGATTGATAATCGTGTAACAAACTTGTTTGTTAAGTTGGTCCTCCTGGTGGTAGTATCGATCAAACTTAGTCATCTATTGTTACGGGAACGCGAAATATCGCTTATTATATGTGGTCGGACGCGCATAACTTTAGTCTGGAATTGGAAACTGTTATGTCTATTAGTAATTTGTGAGCAATTCGGAATTCACGCGCTTTCTAACCTAATACAGTAATGTGGCATCTGCTTAGTGTTTAATTATGAATATAAGAGTATTGTAGCTAAAGGCTATCTCTGCTCGAAGAGCTGATTTCTGAAATCTGATTGAGTCTTGACTATTATTACGTGTGTTTTGTTTGGTGAAAAACTATAATGAGTTGTTTTAATTATGTTATTAAACAGAAATTATATCCCTCATATATATTCATCGTTGACATGTCATAACTCAAGAGTTTTATATTTTAACTATAAGACTGTTACTGCTACTGTGAGACCCCCAAGTTTCTTTAAATGTTCCCAATTCGCAATTATTTACTACTTACACTGATTAGTGGAGACGAGTTAGTTGGTCAGTGGAGAATTTATTCAGTATTTAGAGTTTATTAATAGGTATTTTTCCAAATGAATTTGCAAAAATATCTTGAATGTGTCTTCGAGAGTTTGAAGCCAGAAGCTCCATTTGTAGAGGAACGAAGCAAGTGCTTTGTTGCCCTCAGATGGGGCCCACCTGAAGCTTTCCAGTTCATCGGAGACCAACTCATCTACAGGATTGAGAGATACAACAAAATGCCTCCATGGGTTGTGGAATATAGGTATAATTTCAGTTTTACGTAAAACTAGCTGAGCTAAACTAAACTATCACTATTCCTGCATAAACTTAAGAATATTATGAAGGATGATAAGTAAAAAATTGAGTCAAGTTAGAGCCTGCTTTTGTGTCTATTTTGCAAATTAGTAACTGATTTTTGACCGCACGCCGGACCGAGAGCGGTCACAAAGACAAAATCTGTTTAGTAATTTTTGACCGTGTAAAAATTATTACCTGTGAACAATCCTTTACAATTTCATACTTATAAATACTAGTAAATCACTAAAAATAATGAAATTAAAACAATTTTCAAAAAAATAGAACCGACTTCAAATTTTAAAAAGTGATAAATAATACTTATTTTAAAAGCGATTAAATTTTTCAAGAAACATTGAAGTCGAAGTGAAGACTATAATGTTTCTTGAAAAATTTATCCGTTTTTTAAATAAGTATTATTTATCACTTTTTAGAAATTTGAATTCTTACGCTGAATTATAATTTTTTTAATTATTTTGGCACTTACTTAACCGCATCGAAAACCGAATGCGCTAACCTTTAATCTTATAAAGGTGAAAATTTCATTGTTTTTTTGGATCGAATTGGTTCCGAAACTACTGAACTGCTTTTAAAAAATTATTTCACCTACGGGAATCAACGTCATACTCGGGTAACACAGGCTAGTTAACAGTTAATTATTAAGGTACGCTTGTGGGGTACACGCAGGTTGAAGACAACACCGATTGGCGATAATCGAAACTACTTTCTCGCTCTCTATACTGCAAAGTCCGAGCTCTATGAAAGCTCGAGCGCATTTCTCTACCAAAATAAGATTCAGACTCAATGATGTGTTTCGATCAGCATTTAGACGTCTTCAGGAGTTTTCTGAGATCAAACGCTTGATAGAAAACGCAGGCAATGAATTCTTCAGATTCAACTAGATAGTGCATGAGTGTCGCGATGGGTATTTAACTCTTCGCGCCCGTCAAGTATCTCCTGTGACCGAGCGTCCGAACTGTACGAACTCTCTGAGAGCTCAAGCGAGTTTGTTCGTCAATTAAAGTCTTAGTGTTGACAGATAAGAACTTACTATTGAAAACCTTATTTATGCGTTCACTGTTCACTACTCGATTCATACAAATTATCATTTTACAGACAATATTAATACGTACCTTGATAGCGCAACGGATAAGCGTCGCTGCCCGCGAACGATATTGCTAAGCAATTTTCGCATGGGTTGTTCACAGGATGGGTGACCAAAAAATTATTAAATAAAGGGCCCAGTACCACTGCATGGGAATGTTAAAGGGCTGACGATGATGAACAATATATGAGACTAAAATTTATCCAAGCAATTAATTTCATAGCAATTTTGGCGAATACAGTACTTCAAATTGATATAACTTTTTTATTTATGAACCGATTGTAATAAAACACACTAAAAGATAACGGAAGATTACCACAATATAAAACTGGAAACTGTTTTTAAATCGGCTCAATCGTTTCTGAGATTAGCGTGCACAAACGCACAGACAAACCAACAAAGAAACATTTTTTTTAAATCATTGTTTTGTGTTCTATCACTTTAACAAATGACCCTCGTAATAGTTTTTTTTTTTTTCATATATCTTTAATGTACAGACATCAATCGGTTACGTTTTTATTATAGTATAGATATAGGTAGGTATCTATATCTTTAAACGGAATCAGCAAACAAATTGCAATGCTATCTCCTAAGCCGTGGCTTAAAATAAAATAAGCAGTTATATAATACAATACGAGTATACTGTACTGATGATTCATGCACAGTTGCACTAGCGGGAAATACCCGTCTGTTATCTTTTTAAAGTTACATACGATATGCAGTTTGTTCGGGACTTCATATTCTTATTTCTTTCTTAAATCACTTATCGTATATACTTTAATTTAAATAGTCCATTAATTCAGTGTTGTTTATTAACAAACACTAATGAATGGGATTATATCGGGTAACCTTACACTGAGATGCTGTACTACAACCAGTAGGTGCTGTATGTCTCCTTATTCTATTTCATGGAGAATTCGTACAAATATTACATATATTACAAGTGCGTGCATTCACTTACCATTTTAATATTTAATTTTGATAAAAACATAGTTATGGAAAATAATGGTGTCATTCCGTATGTGCAGTATGTAGGTTCTATCAAGTCCTCTGTAGCTATCACTTTATTTTTTCCTGAAATATATTATTGTGGTAAAACCTTAATAATAATAACACTGAATATATAAGTGCTAATTTAAAATTAAGAAGTAATCTTTTAGTTAACAAATTTGAAACAAAATTTCTTTTCTAAATTAAGGTACTATCACTGTGGTTGATTATTATCATGTCATTTTTTTTAAAGCAAGTAGAAATTCAGCTCCAAATAATCTTACTCGATGTTCTCTTCCTTAGCGGTGGAAAAATGTCGAAAATCATTGACAATCTGTCACCGCGACACCCGTATAGATTCCGTCTCAGAATACAATTGAAGTGTTCAGCCGTGCCGACACTAGCAGATGAGGCTCTAAAGCATTATGACAATGAATCGCTTATCTACGACACTATGAAAGATTTGGTAGATCCGAGTGATAACAAAAAAGAAAGTAACGAAGATGTTATTGGAGGAATGGATACTTCAGTTGTACAAGTAAATGATGATACTATTAGTACTGATGACAATAAGAAACATAAGTCCGTTAAAAAGTAAGTTATCGTGAAAAATTTGAATTACATGTTTATAATATCCTGCTATGCTTAGCATTATAATACATATAACTAACAATATTCATAGGGGTTATTTTATAAAATTTTAATTTTAAGGTAAATTAAACTTTTATAAAATAACTTCTATGAATATTCACGATGCTATACTGAAACATATTCTTAATGAAAAACGCTTAAAAGATCCATTTTGTTCCGGGCACTTTGAGATGGGATGGGAATAATAGTGTTATAACACTATCAATACATTTTCTATACCTGTCCGCTTATGTGTTCATCTACGTCCAATCTATCAGCCATAAAACTATATTTAATATACATTCTAGTTCGAAGCTTGAAATTTTTTCACTATTATAAGAAATAATAAGAATATTATTGGTGAAAAATGCTTAATAAATCCACTTTGTCCCTGACACTCAGCTGTACTCACAAAAAAATATTTTCATTAAGAATATTTTTCAGTATAGCTTTGTGAATGCAAAAGTGATTAAATAATAAGAATTTAAAAACATAGCCTTTGGGTGATCATAGTAAAACTTACCAAACTGCATGCTTTTAAACCTATTGCGAGTCAAATAAAGGTTATTTCCTTTATAGACTTGGAACAGCTAAGAATTGGTTGGATTCCCAGTGGTCTGACGAAGTATGGACCAGCACCGACACGGATGGCACCTCCGTTGTATGCTTCTGCATGGCTGTTCGATGCGGATATACCAAACAAGTCAGTATCGGATCCAAACATAACTCGACATTTATTTGATCATATTGAAGAAAGCGAACGGAGCATATAACGATTTAATTTTACAATTATTGTTCAATAACATCTTGCAGACCATTAGAAAACAAACCGTGTTACTATACTGTGATTCATTTATATTCTATCAATTTGAGATTATCCTTTTCAGTAATTTTTGAAGTATATTTAAGCAACTAAATTCAAAAATTACTCAACAATTGCAAAATTTTGTTTATTATTTTTCAATCTATTTCATATTTAAAAATCAATGCGTTGCAGGTCCAAGTTATGTTAGAAGAGCGGCCGGCGCTGGTTGGTATACTCAATTCGAGTAATGGCTTCACACCACTCGCCACTGCAGTCAGAAAAGGTAGCATTTACGATATAAAGTATATCAGGCTCACTGAAATGTTCCAAATGGTCACAAATATTTATAAAATAGTTTATAAATTTTAAAATGTAATTTTATTGCTCCGCAGTCAATAATCTAGACTCAATACTCTTCAGTAGCTGATTGATTATAGAGACAAGGTATAGCTTCCAATTAGGAGTATTCCTCCTCTGACCATATGCTTACAAATATTTAAATGGTACAATGATTGTACTGAACCTTCAAAACGACTCGAAGGGAACTCAAAGTAAACTATACGAGGGGCTACACTGCAATGTAGATTACAGATACACCGCAGTTTAATGTAGAAAATCGATGTGGAATATTTTTTCTCACAAGGAATAATACATCAAAGATTTTTCATACATTTATGACATACAAATAACATGTAGGAATCTAATAATACCTTAGTAGAAATATTTTTATCTACTTTGCCGATTATTAATTTCAAAGATCTCGTAAAAATCCTAGGTTTGACAATTTCTATAACGAATTTAATACATTTAAATACCCGATTTTACATTCAGTAAGTTAGGACCATGTCATGTGATATATCGATCCTCACTGCTTACCCTGTAAAGAATTTATTTATAGGATAAGATTTATGTCTTTACATACTCTCACACTTCAAATAATGCTTCAATCAAGCATTCTCGAAATGCTTTTGTTTATTATCAAAGACGTTGTTGCAGGTGACATTAATATGGTGAAGTTCCTTATATCAGCTGGAGCTGAACTGGAGCAGAGGTCGTCAACAGGACAAACGGCACTGCACCTGGCGGTACTCGGCAGACATCCAAATATTGTGGAACTATTGCTCGAGAGGGGAGCCGATTTCAAAGTAAGTTACTCGATTCATTAACAAAATAAGCAATTTCTAGAACCTGTACCTAGCAATAAATTTTAGGAGAGACCAGAAAGGAATAGGGGTTCCTAAAATCGGAATACTTAGGTGTCCTAGCTCTTATGACATCGATGAGGCAGAAACACCGGAGAAATAGATTGTTGATCTCGAGCTGCTATTGGCTTTGACTGTCGTATCGTCGGCATTTGTTCATTGTTTATGAAGTTTGCGGATCCCCCTAGATGTATTGAATATCTGACGTAAATGCAACGTTCGATAAAACACATACATAAAACTATTATAAATAAGTGCCGAATATTTGAACACCAGAGTAAATAACAGTTTCTCAATACTTCAACAGGCTCATGACGTGAACGGTCTGCGCGTGGAGCACTATGCTGTAGACTCATGCGACCTGGACATGCTGCGGCTGGTACTAGATAAGGGTGGTGACGTCAAAGTCACCGACAACAACGGGTGGACGCCGCTCTTCAGAGCATGTATTCACTCACTACAAGAATCTGTGCTGAGAATATATTATATGATAATATATATATATATATATAAGCTTAGGATTGTTTTTCCGTCGTTTAATGACGTCTTTATAAATCACCTAGATAATATTATGGCTGGAAGATGAAACTTGATAATAAGTTAGGTCGCTCTGATCTCAGTTGGTGTTATCGTAGAAGTGGTATGGTGAGTAATGTACTGGGTAGACTCAATCAGGAGTCGGATCTCTCTATAGCTAGGCCAGTATTGGGATCTAGCAACATTATTAACTTAATTAACCGGCATAACCCGACTCGACCTTTTAAATAGTATATCTAAAAATACCTACTTCATATTTTCCTGATTAGCTAAACATTTTTTCCCTTCATAAAATATCATGATATTAATTTGAATGTCTGTTGGTAGTGTGTCAAGGTGCTTCGACAGCTATGGTAGAAGAGCTGATGGTGCGTGGAAGTGACCCTGGTATCCAGGACTATGCAGGTCTACCACTCACGTCCGTTGCCCGCTTGCTCAACAACAGACAGTAAGTATCAATTTGAGACATATTTAGATGTAACTCTAGTTTTTAGTGTTATTAGATTTTTCTTCTAATTAAAATCTCAAAGTACTAAAATGATAAAGGACTTGCGTTTAACGAACAAACATTTCAACATAATAAAAAGGAATAATGTAGACAAGTTAAAGAAATATTACAATAATGAAAATCTGAAGATTTGTATTTCAATAAATCACCAAATCTTTCAAATCAATCCTCTTTTATTGTAATGCCATTGTACCATGTTATAACCAGTATACAATACCAATGATTTTTATCATATTTAGGAATATATTTTTTCCTATTGAACCCTATTAAATGTGAAAAAAAGGATCTCTTCGTAGAAATAGATCATTATTCTAACAATATAACTAACTCCATTATCTTGTAACTGTAATATATTATTATGTAAATATTGTAATGTAATCGCATATGGAATATCTTAATTGTACTCGTAACAAATGCTGTGCATATCTGTAACTGTCACTAATGCTATATAAGTGTCATTGAAAACATTAACTACTTTTTTTTGTATTTATGATGTTGAAGTGCCTTGAGTAAATAAATGATATGTACTTATACAGTGAATTCCTATAGTATACATCTACTGATTCCCGTCTTGGCGGTTGTAATATGCTAATATTTGTTTTCATAAAGTTTTTCATCACTTTAGTATTCAACAAACGCGTTCTGCCGTGTGTGACCAAGGACTATGAATTTTTGAATGACAACTAATAAAATAATAAATAATGAATAAAATGACTTAAAAATTAATTATTGGTCATTGACGTAAAAACTAAGTTATTGTCCCTGATCTGTGCAATTAATTTTATTACGATAAAATTAATTTCACAGATCAGGGTTCTTTATTTCCGTTATTTATTTCAGTGGACGGAGTCGGGACTCTGTGCTGAGGCTGGTGGACTCCACCTACCCACACGAGAAAGCGCTTGCTAATTTCACACGACTCACCAAGAAAATATATAACGTTCATACTGTTTTTAAATAAATAAAAATAATTTAACTACTGTACAAAAATAATATTTTTGCGAAACAGTTAACAAGTTCATCATACATTATGAAATTGTACAATTTTGTCTTATAGAATAAAGCTGTCCATTTCCTACGACATAGGGAAATGTATCCTCATCTATTATTTCATTATGACAAAGATATATCAATCAATAAAAACAATTTATTCAATGTAGGCTGTTCCAAGCACTCGTGTAAGTCGAAACTCAATGCCGTCCGGCAAGAAGAACCGGCACGTGCTCCTTTTTCTCCCTGCTTTACTTTTCTCTATGAAAAAGTATTGATACCTATGGCATTGCAGCTTAAATTTACTGTAATACTAAACCTTGTTTATTTATAATACTGTTATTATATAATATGCAGATATGGCTTATAATGTGTAGATACTACTGTATGTAGATATATAAGTTACATAATATGCATATTAATGAAATACACGTGCGTAAAGTTTGAACGTAAACATTTTTATTAGACTCTTTTAGTATTTTTTCTCTCTCAATTACAAACTCTGTAAAATATTTTGCAAACCCAATTTAACAAGCCCAAATAACTGACAAATATGAATATTAAGCCATACTTTATGAAATTACTTATATACAGGTCAAGTGATCTCCTTTTTGAAATCGGTTGGAAAAACACATGCGTCAGCGTGTATCAGTCTGCAGTATATCCAACGCTTCACCATTAACGCTATATAACTGGGGAATAGCCTACCCGACTCTATCAGGTGATCTCCTAAAAGAAATATCACCATTATAATATATTTACTTATGTGTATATGTTTATAAGTATGAATAACAAGTATCACCTTGCTTGTAGTTTAGTTATAAGCATTGATAATTGTTAGGTCGCTTTACACCGCCTTCACATTTTTGTTTTCCTAAAGGTTGACTGTTAGAGTACACTATTAGCATTAAGTCCGCTTCATTCGGCACAAAAGACCCCACATTACATTGTTATATATTAAGTTTGATAAATAAATTAATCAGTCAAGCTTCGGTTCATTTTATATTTCCCATCTATACTAATATTATAAAACGGGAAGATTTGATTTGATTTGACAAACAAACAATTATTTGTATGTTTATTTGAATCGAATAGCATGTGAAAGAAACAACTGGAACGATTTTAAAAATTCTTTCACGTACGGACAGCTATTTCTTATGCGGTGAACATAAGCTATATTTTATCCCGCAAAACAGCAAATAACGGTATGAAAATGGGTGTGGAAGTTTGTATAGGAAATTAAAACATTTCCATTGTCTGTTTACTTTTCAATTTGTCATTGTAATGTCATGATATGAATCGATTTCCAAATGAACAGTCCCCTAAGGAACACGCGAACGAAGCCGCTGATGATGTAAATACTATATATACTAGTATATTTAAGGTGAAATGAGAAGAAGTATTAAAAAACCTTATTTATTAATGGAAAACATATTTACAAAGTCTTAAATCTACAGGAGTATTGAATTACATTAAACGTGTGACAAAGTGGTAACAGGAGTGATTATAGAGTCGAATTTGAGAAGGTTTCACGTGAAACTGGAGAACCTTGACATCCCGCAGCTAATACCCCTAACACACATACAACACGAAATGCATTTAATGGCAAGGCTTACATACGCAATAAATAACTTACTTAAACATTACCATTTAAAGCAGTTTTAAAAACACAGCGAGTAATAAAAGATTCCTATGTATTGATAGGTTTCTAGGCGCTGATGATTGCAACCATTCGTGGCCAACGAGATTCTTAGATGTACTGTACTCTTTTGTCGTTTGTTCCTCGACTATTCCCTTTTCGAACTGTGTAACTTTTGTGTCCCTCTTCCTTCTCAAAGCTCTTTCTTCATCTTCGTATTCATCTTCCTCCTCTTCGTCATCGTAATATTTATCTTCATTTCTCACTTCATGATTATTACTACCTTCAGGTTTCAAATCGTCTGTTTTAGAATCCTCAGATTTGTCATAAGAGTTAACTAGTTTTAGATGGGTTGTACGAGAATCAAGTGTTGGAGGAGTCAACTCTTTAGCATCTTCTGGACTAAGTTCAGCGCCTACAATAGGAGGTATCTCCCCTTTAAACGGTCCAAATTGAGGAGTTTTCAATAAAAATTCGGTGTTAGCAGGTAATTTTGACGAGAAAACTTTCGTATTTTCTTTTATTTCAGGAACATTAGTGAGGGTGGCAGCAGAAACAGTTTTACCATCATATGTTGTGAACGTTTCTTGGTTCAAAGCTAACTTTTGTGAATGCTCTTTCGGTAGTTTAGGATCCGGTGGTAAATATTGTGGACTAACTCTATTAGATTCCATAACCATATCCGAAGGGACATCCTTGTCTATATTTTTATTACTAAAAAGGGCGTTCAACTCTTCCTCTGTCTTTACGTACACGGGGTGTGGTCTGTCTTCTTTGGCGTGATTACTTGGAAACACTTCTCTTGTTCTATCATCTGTCGGAATCAAATGATCAGGTGGGGATGGTATGAACATTGGCTCAAAAGTTTCAGTAATTTTATCACTCGGTTTTCGATCATAAACATGGTTATTGTACTGTGGCAATTCTTCATAATCCTCTTCCACGTCGGTGTCCTCGCGTCTATCGGCACCTCGGTCTTCGTTAGTAGCTATTCTATCTTCGGCAGCCATCAAAGGCTCCCTAATGATTGGTTTAAATCCACTCTCGACGACGATTGAGTCGGGTTTGAAACCAGTGTTGACCGCCGGAAACGCCGGATGTGTTGAAGATTCCACAGATTCTCCTATAAAATCTGATGATTTAATGTCATTTTGCGATTGAATTCGATCGTTATCAGTTTTCGTATTTTGTTTCACCGGCTGCTGGGGTCGAGACGTCGGGGACGGCGGCGTGAGGATAGTGTGGTGCTTAGTATAGGTCATTTGTTGATCAAGAGGTAAGGGATTGTCCATTGGTTTTCCCAGTATGATCTGACCTTGATTCGGTCTGCTCACGTACGTCTGGGGAATGCTCTGCTGCGTGATTGAATCGCCACCTCCAGGTAAAGTGATCTGACTTCTGACAACTTGATTCATGATAACGTCTGACTGACCAAGGTTGAGAGTTGCAGCTTTGGACGGACCTCCGTTGCTAGGTTTACCCACTACTATAGATTTCACCTGCGATTCTAAAGGAGGCTTAAGGCCATGTTTCATCGGACCTGGTTTATGATGTTGGAATGGTGGCATTGCCTTCGTAGGAGCAATTCCAGGGGGCATGCGTACGGGCCCGATAGGCATTCGCCCAGGATGTTTCATTGACGGTTTCTTCATGCCGTGTACTGTGTGAAGACTTGGCATAGGCAATGGGTAGCCGTTACTTCCTTTTGGGTACCCGGGAGGAGGACGACGTAGTTTAATTTCCGGGGGAAGAGGGCGTCTGAAGGGTGGTCTGGGACCCGGTTTTCCCATGGGGTTTGGTCTCATTACTGATTGAAGTGTCAACGGCTGCTGGTTTGGGGGTAAAAAGTATGTTTCAGGAGTACGTCCGACCACGTACTCATCTCCTTCCCTCAGAGGTCGTTCCGGTAAAAAATCGTCAACATTTTCATGGACTTTGTACTGCGCTGGGGCACCGGTCCTGTTTCTCCTCATCTCGTCAAGCATCTCGCTCTCGAGACTCTCGACCGCATGGATCACCTCCTTAATCTGCACTTTGGACACGGGCAACTCGTACTCCTCGGGTCGCTCGCTATTTCTACTGAAATTGTTATAATTGTTTTTCGCTTGGTGATCTAGTATGTGGCGGCGATCTGAGATATTATTATCTGGGGTGAGACGGCTGTGTACCTGTATGGATTCCTCGCCGACTAGATCCTCGGGGGGGAGGAGAGTCTCGACAATGCGGCTCTCGTCGGCCTCGGTGGCGTCGCACTCATCAACCACATTTATTTTCCAGCCGAGGTGGCGATGGGTGAAACACTGAAAGAAAACATACGTTAGTGATGGTCGAAACACAAATGTATTTAAAAAGATACGATCACCATCCGAAAGGAGATCGTGAAGTGAGATGTCATGCGAGACAGAGAAGACTTGAAAGGCTGAAACAGAAAACAGATAGCTTAGATTATTTACATAGAGCGATGATAAAGAAAAAAAAATAGAAATACTCGTTTGTGAGAGAAGAAAAAATGTTAAAACAAATTTCAGTGTGATCGTGTAACAGATGAAGTAAATATATGCAGAAATGTAAATAGTGAGAATTGATTGATGAAAAGATACGATAAAATGTCGGTGCGCCCAAATATGTATATTAATCGACATCGTGTTACTACTGTTCTTTCATATAAAATATAAATATATGATGATAGATGTGTTCTCTCTTTTTGCGTTTTTTACTATAAAATAAAAGCTCATGGTCTAAAATATTAATTAAAAGCGATCTACAACTTTCAAGAAACAAAACATGTTCAGAAAGTTAGTCAGATTGTTCTGTATATTATTTAATATACCCAAATACTTAGTATTTGCCAGCTCATAAATAACGAGCAACTTTAACTCGAAAAATTTTCTGGATGTAGTTCATAGCACGTTTCGTTCATTACAATACCTGGTAGTAAACAGTATCCGGGGTGTTCTTGTCGGGAGTCCAGGTGACGACACCAGGGTTGCCTTCCTCGCAAACCAGCGTGAGGGAGCGTTGGTAGGCTCCAAACGAAGGGAACTCGTCCGCTTCCGGGCCAGATGTGTCCGGAGTCCAGTTGCACAGGCGACCCACGCCGGTGGGGATCAATTCACCGGTTCGGGACCGACGCACTCCGGCGAATATTTTAACAGCCTGTTGGTAAGAAACATGTCTCCTTCTTATAAACCGTGACACGTTTAAAGTAATGACATATTTGAATTCCTCAAGCTTAAAAAGGAATAACGAATAATTGCAAAGATTGCGAAGTATCAAACAGAATATCACCACGGCTTCTACAAAATATGAATCAATAGAATGACAAAGAAGCAATCGGCTGACCTTCTTCTCATCGTCGGTCTTGTGGTAGTATCCTCCGACAGGATCGTCTGTGATATAAAAAGGATGGTATCTCGCGGGCACGGCCGGGTCGGCGCCACCCTCCGCCACGAACGTGTACCGCCGCCCGCGCACCACATTAATCTCCGGGATCAGCAAGCCGTTGATGTACCACGATATGCCCCATCCCACGTGACCTGACATCCAAGTAAGGTTTACTCAAAATTCAGCCAATCACACTCCCGCTTCAGAAATTCTAGTCTCAACAAAAGCATTTAATAGAGATCATACTCGTATTTTTAATAGATCTCTATTAAATGCTTTTGTTGAGACTAGATCTTAGTTTTAAAAGCATTTAATAGAGATCTTATTGTTATTTTTAATAGAGATCTTTTGTTGTCAATTTACGATGCGATGATGTTGCTTCAAAGCTGTGTAGGCTAAATAAAAAATAATCATTTTAATTTAAAATCTCCTAAGAGCTTTGGCTATAGTTTAGATCACGTGAATAATCAAACCAAATGTTTCATGTAACATTACACGCGGTACTGTTACCTAGTTATATTTTGAAGAACTTGGCTAGATTGTTACCTGTGATGGCGGAGTATCCCTGTTTGCCGCCGGTGGGTCCCATCTGCGCGTAAAACACTCCATCTGGAGGCTCGTAGCACTGGATGGCGGGGATCTCCCAAGGTACCACTTGCGGCACCGGTTTGGGTGTCGGCACTGGATTAGGTTTAATCACTGCCGTCTGCAGTCACAGACATAATAATTACACTCAAACATAAAGTTGAAGGCTGAATACAACCAAGATATCAAGTCGATTTTAAAATATATTTGACATAATAGACGTTAATACTTTTTTAAGAAATATGAGTGAAGTTACCTGTTCTTGTTGTGCCGGTCTAGTAGGTTTGATCACTGGCTCTGGTGCCTGTTCCTTCTGCTCTTCCTCTCCTTCAGGCATAGGGCAATTCCATACCGGAGGACGCCCAAATTCAATGAATTTATCGCCCTAGAAAAATATTTCAGATATTCCTAACCGACATTTATAATGCTATTAATAAGGTTATCAGAGTAAATTTACGCTAAAATAGTTCAAATTCATATTATACAGAGAATCTGTTTAATAATATGAATTTTGACTAATACTAAATGCAGTCTGAGCGTAAATTTAACCCAACGCTAATATAAAAAACTTGTTTATGAATAACACTGTAAAGGTAAACTTTCAATCAGACTTATTTTACGTTAATATGACCTCAAAATTGGCAAATCAAAAACTTGACCTAGAAATCAGCAATAATTACACATTTCCATGTATCTGGCATTTCCACTTATGGGGATAGACTAAGAGAAAGTATTTCTACTCACAGATGTACATAATAAACTGGCCATTCTTATAATCCTTTGAAAGTATTATGTATCTCCAAAAAGAGCAGCTGTTTTACAATTTTACTGTGGATAATTAAGTAAAAAGCTCAAGAATCTAGCTCATAAATTTTAATTTTGAATCAAAACACTAAATACGTATGTTAGTGCATGAATTTTTGTGGCTAAATTAAAACTCCCTTTGTAAATAATATTAGTTTTACAAGCAACATTTACCTAATATATCTAACATATAACTAAGATAATATATAACTATACCAGAAATTACCTTCGTAAAATGGTGATGATAGGAGACTTCGTTCCTAGAGTTGAGCGGCCCGAGAGCCCAGATGACGGCCTGGGAGCCGTTCGTGTACACCGGCCGGTCGAGCTCGTCCGCCGCCCGCAGCGCGCGCTGGTACGTCACTATCGAGTATCCGTTCACCAGAGCAGCATTCAACAAACGCACTGAATTTGTCTTCTCCTGAAAATAAATATCAACAACATCATATGCGTGCATATACTGCATCAATCTAGAGTAACTAAGTTTAGTTACATGGACTATTCAAACACGCTCTTTTAAATATCAACCCAGCTAGATCTCATAGAACGACCTCTGATGTTTACTCTCGACAACTGAATCCAATTGTATGGACCAATGCGATCATCTAAAAGTAAATGAAAATTAAAAGAAACCGACTGCCTAAATCGAACTGATATTATTGTTAAAATTAACGAAATTTTGACAATCGAAATTTTAAGTTAACAGATCGTCAATTAATAACATCCCATAAAATATATTAAACTCATATTTGATCGTAAAATCATAATCCAATTATAACATAAACCCTAAGTAATAAACCCTGTAATTAGCAAATGTACAAAAAGAAATCTTCCGTTGGAAATAAACCAATTGTAATACCTACTCTGTACCAAAAGAGATTTTTCAACAGACTTTCACTTTGATGTCCCCCGGGTACATTACACAAAGTGCACCCTACAGTACTACAGTTTCTGAAACGATTATTACCAGGACGAAGAGCCCAGGTGGGCCGGTGCGGTGGGCCGCGCTACCGACCGACATAGCAACAACATCAAAACTGAACTTAACAACATTCAATATCTACTTTGTCAGATCTTTTAGAATATATTAGTGTTTATCGCGATGAAAGGTTGAAATAAAACCTTCCAGTTCAGTTCTGATTTATTTACTTATTGCGTTTAACTGGAGTGGACCTAGTCAGAAAAGGCAGAATTAACAGTGAATGGCATAAATTTCGTTTTCCAAAAAATTGTTTGGATTATATTCATATAGCCTAGGTACATCATAATTTTTATAGTCTCTATATTGTCATATTCTTCTTTAGATATATTTTTTTTGGTAGGTCCATTTATTATTTTAAAGATACAATGAAAAAGATACAATTCTAACATGAACAATCGATTGGTTGTTTTACCTTTATTATATTAAACGAAATTATGCGAATTTATATTTTTCCAAAAAGAATTGTACCATTATTGTCAGTATACTAATGTAGATTCGGACACATATTCGAATAGATCATCTGATCAATATCAGTGCTAGTTACAGAAAATTTTGGCGAAATATTTAATTATAGAAGTTAAAGAATACTATTTCGTAGCTTTGTTTTCGGAATTAATATGCTTCTAGGTTTTAGGGATGCGTCGATGTTAGTATCGAGTGGTATCAAAATTAGCAGCGTGTGACTGATTCCATTACCTACTGCTTTCACGAGGCATTCCAGATTTTGTAGTAACAATATGGCAACTCACCCCAAGTCTCTCGTCGGGACAGGAGCCTCTCACTCCCGCGCACTGGCTCTTGGCGTCTAGATAGTAATCCACCGCATATCCTTTGAGGGTCTCTTTATCCACCCAAGCCACTGCGACGTCACCGCCGACCATCTGAGAGTGTTCCGGGTCGCCGGAGATACCGAAAGACATGTATTCACCGTCCTCTATAGAAATATAAAGGAAACGAGGAATGATCATTTAAAGAGGGAGAAAATATGAAACCAGGTTATAAAAATAAAATTTTGATTAAAAAATATCCAACTTTGATACATTTTTCCCATGGAGAAAGTCTATGCTCAGCAATGGGCGTCGAACAACTGGTGATGATGACAAAAATTTTAAAAGAATAAAAACTATTATATATCAAATTAGATATTTTACAGTAACATATACGAGTACTATGCTATATATTTAAGCGCATTACCTAATTTTGCGACCAGCTGTAGTACAATGCTGTCTCCAGCGACAGCCCAGCGCACCTCGAAGGCGAGTTCGTCGTGTAAAACCTCGCAGTTCAGTTTTGACTGAAAAAAAGTAAGAGACTCCAATGAGAACTAGCATTTTGTTATTCCTGCAACTGTCCAACAACATAAAATTGAGCAAACAGACATTTTATTTGAGAATACTTTAAATAACCATACTGTTATTTTCATTTCTATACCTACATAGTCTCATTTTTATTATTCTATTTGATCAATTTTGTATTTTCACCAGTGCCTGTAATATCCTTTCGCAATCTGGGCGACTTTAATCATCGAGCTGACTGACTATCCCATCTCGGCCTCCATTTCCATGTACCATGATGAACTCGAGAGACTAAAAAAACGGGTGAGAGCGAGACTGTGAGTGAGTTATTATATGGCCATACATCACTCCACACCCGAGTGCCTCTAGGTCGCCATGGTACACCTGCTGGGTGAATTTTCAAGCATTTCTCTTTGAGATAAATAAGATTCTTATTGTAAGGTAATGTATCTCTACTGTCTGTCCATTTGTCTACCAAAAGATGACTGGTATTATATCTTTTAAATAATTATTAGACGCCTTCACCACAAATGATAAAGTACCAAACAAGCTTAACTCTTGAGGTTAAAGAGGTCATTAAAATAATTTGCTATGTCCGCCCTTTTAATTGAAATAAGTGATTTAACTGAATTAACACATTTTTTCTCTGCCCCTTTCATATTCAAGATGCCGTCAGTATTCGAACGATGAATTTGTCATTGTACAAAACAAAATTTAAAGGTTTGCCATCGGATTGTACAGAAAAAAAACCTCGTACTACATAAAACTTTTACTTGAGGTCACATAAGATCTTTATCCCCAAAAATTCATACCATTTTCAGCGTTCACACTCAGTGAGTGTATTTGTTAAATGCCTAAAACAAAGTGTTCCGCTGAAATTTCCCGACAAATGGGGTGATTTTCTGGTAGATTTAGCGCGGCTCGGCGATGACGTGGGAGCAATAGCTCGTGGCGCGCCTCTTTCCAAATTCACTTTTCTTTATTGTAAAGCAGTGGCATTTAATATGTAAAATATTTAGGTATACCATTTATAACTGAACATTGAAACTATTGTATGTAATTCTATAAAAGAAATACAAATATAGCATAGCATTACTCAGTTTTATGCCATCCTATTCAAATAATACACTAAATATTGAGGAAACAGTGGCATTTTTAAAATCTGTGACTAACGTTGAATAGAGAACAATTAGCGCTTGAACATGGCTTTCAGAATAGTTTTCATTTGAGTCGACGGTACGTCGCCAGAACACGCATCACTTGCTACGTCACCGTAAATGCCGTAGGGATAGGTTCCTGAATTGTTGCCTTGATAAAGAACAACACAAAACCATTTCTTCGGTCAACATTTATGACTTTCAAAATGTAAGGGTTTATATAATGTAATTCGTGCAAATAAAGAATTTGATTGATTTTCTTTTTGAAGGTAAAGGTTATATTTTTTTGTGAGTTACACACACCTAGAATATGTTGCAGTTCGGCAGCGGTAATGAACCTACCGTATAACACCAGTAATCCCCTTCACTAACCGCTACATAGCGTAATCTGTGTCCGTGCTCCAGCTACAACACTGGCGTCTATTTCATGAGATATACGGTTCAAATTAAAACAAATTTTAGTTTCATATGAAACTTGTAACAAAAACGTATGTGATTAATGCCTCCAAAGCTGGCATTAATAATAAAGATCTAAATATTATACAATACTGCGAGTTTGTCTGTAAAAAATTTAGAATTGAAAGATTTACCGCATTATAAAATAATTAACTAAAAATCTATTCACTAAAACAATGCAGTCGTTATAATAACACAGACAGTATTCATAAATATTATCTGACTAACCAAAAATATTTTAAGAGGGCTCGGTCTTTCGCAGCCGACAGCTGGACATGGGATAAAGTTCATATGTATAATAAAAACTACAAAAGAAAATTTGATACGTTATTTGTTTCAAATTAGTATCTGACGCTTCTTTCCTCCCATCATGCTTTCATCTCTTTCTGTCTCATTGTCAAAGTTCGAGAATTCATCTCTCTTTAACGCATCGCTCCTCATGCGCACTTTTAAGCCCTAAATTTTTTAATAAAAAATTTTAAAGCGTATAATTTTCATATTTATTTAGATGTGGGTGTTGGTCGCCTTGAAAATATATTGGTGTAGACACCTTGTACAATTCAGACAAGTTTATAGTAATGTGATCGTTTCCCGGGATAATATGTAGGCATGGCGACTAATTTTTGTTTATTTGCCCGTCAGGTAGATTGTTGAAAGATATTGAACACGTATTTTTATTTTATTCGTAATCATTAAATTACGACGATACATTGAGTTAAAATGTCGCGTGACGTCACGCTTTGGTACATTTTCTACAAAACTGTGACGTAACGAGCCACCACTCCTCAACTTATGCTATTTCTTGTGAAATTGAAGTAAAAAAAAAATACGTATCTAATATTTTTCTATTATCTGACTGACGAACGTAATAGAATATCTTTTTTTTACCCAGTCTTCATCCCTATTATATTTATTAAATTAATTATTTCATAATATCTAATATTTAGTTATCCTTTACTGAACACTGCGCTAGTCTTCAAAGTCTCTCCGGAATGTTCTGGCGAAGCATAAACTCTGACAACTGAGTCCTCCTTATTTTAATAAGTGAAAGAGAAACATGACGTTCTAAAAGTAATACGAAATAATATAAGTTTTCATTATACTAAAGTTTTAATTTACAATTGGTCGCGTACGTGTGCACTGTTAGTTATCTACTACAACTGAAATGAGTATTTTCAATACGGCATGTAATGAACGCTGGATACACTGAAACTGGAATCATGTCATCGAACATCAACGGGATTGTTATTATGTATCAGTGAACATTTCGGATATTTCATAGGTCGATATGGCGGCTCGAAGCCGAATACCAAACGGATGGTTATTGCAAAATCTCGATACATATTCCGTTGTCTGGCAAAGGGAATGTTTGTGTTAATTGATTGATGGGTTACACATATAATGACGAAAATATATTGACTGTGATGTATAAAAAAACAGGTTTGGAGGTTGAGTAATATACTGTCTTTAAACTACATATATTAATTTAGTGATATATTCTTATGTGGATATCACATAAGAAAATTAGACAATAAATAAAACACTTTTCACATTTGACATGCTTTATTTTCATGTTGAGTATTATAAATCGCATGTTAAAAAATAAAATATAATAATGTTATTACATCAAAAAATTGTAAATCCAAAACTATTACATCACTGGACACTGACCAACCGAACGTACATCAAAAACAAAGATAAAATATGTGACAAAAAAGATTATCCATAATTAATGCACTAAAATATCACAGCTAGGAACTTTGTACTGTTGTTTCGTAATAACGGTACAGATATACAATTGTAAGAATTCATAAGTAGTCGATCAGTCCCTTAATGGTTTTTCTACTGTTGCCTCTTTATCTAACAGTAAAAACAGAGCTTTCGCAGCTTTCTATGCTGCAGCATATTCTTTAGCATTTTTCATTACTTTAACATTTCGATTCCCCATAAATATCATTATTACTATTTGAAATCGATCGAGTTTTATTAGAAAAAAATATGGCAACGGCATAATACAAAAACTGTATTATAAACAGGCCAAGTGCTTCATAACTTAGCAACACATTGTGCTTACATGCTTGCATATGTTTAATAATTTCTGAACACTTGGTGGAAAAAAATATAAGACAATGTGAGCTGTAGTCATATACAACTTACATTGTCTTATATAGCAACAGCAATATATTGTTGAAATCACTTTTTAAATTAAAGCTTAATACAGATGGACTTCAAAATAGTTTAACAGATTAAAAATTGTAGTTTACATCAATATTGTTCATGCGTTTTAGTAGCAAAGCCTTTTCGTAGGTGGTCAGTTGCATCAGTTGTCCTATCACAACCAAATTAATAAAAGTAACGCTAATAAATTAGTATCTAACTTAAATAAAGCGCGCTGCATAATTCTAGATGATCCATTACAACAAACACGTATATTCTGCCGACTGCCGGATTCAATATAAATAACGGCAAGCACAATATCGTGTTCTCTATTTTCATATTAGATCGTATCACATCAGCTTCAAATTTTTGTGTCAGATTTGTATTCGGTTTACGCAGATACGATCACGTTGGTATCTGATTTTCATACGAGGCGCGAGTGACTGGCAACTCGTTTCCACACACGTATTGTTTCCCTTTTGCACAGTATTCGGCTCGTTTCCTTTTCGTTTAATTTCCTTTCATGATGGAGCAACGTTCGCGATTCAACTCGGAAGCTCGAAACTCTAGGTATCGATACATTCTGATACACTTGACAAATACATTACAATATAAGCTGCCCATCTCTGACAAGCATCACCGGGCGATATTGCGCATGCGCAAATCGCACATTGTTTTTAAAAATCGACCCACGAGCATGAGCCAACTTGTCATTTTAAACGCTAAAACATGCATATCATACGTTATATGAGACATGCGTCGTATAATGTGCATGGAACCTTATAAGTTGTAAAGCATCCTTACTACGTATGCTGTATACGTATAATGTGAAAAGCTATATGTACCTTATATGCTCAAGCTTTATTAAGAACTCCTGTAATAGTATAATATACTTTTGGGTTGGAAGTTATAAATTATGATAACTGCACTCACTGGTCGACATATTTCCCAACGGTTATGGAATCATCTACAACGACGCAGCGTGACTTAAAATATACACATTAAGTAATATTTAAGGCTAATTTTACTGGCATTTTATTTGATTGGATCGGTGCATGCGACCCCGGTGCTTATTTATAGTCTGACCCGTAAATGGCGACACAGTCGCGGCCGCAAACTTCATATTCTACAATAATTAACTTTTTCTCGTGAATTTTATACGCGAGAGCGATTTTTAATTTTTTTAATATTTAATATTTACATTTATGATTTGTACGAGTAATAATAAA